AGAGCAGGAGCCCTGTGCGTGCCTGGATCACTGCCCTCAGACCCTGCAGACATGGCCGGGGTTAAGGTCCAGGTGCTATGTCCCTGCTGAGGGCGCGCACGCCATCTCACTTTCCCTCCTCCAGGGGCCCACATCACCTCCTCTCCTGCCACACAGGTGCCTGCTGCCCCTGTCCAGTGTCCTCATGCCTCGGGGGAAGAAGAGTAAGCGCCGGGCCCAAGAGAGACGCCGAAAGGCCCAGATGGAGTCTGGGAGAGTCCCGAGTGCTCATACCTCTGCAGAGGAGGGGGATGAGTCCTCCTCTTCCTCCTCTTCTGAGGTTTCTTCCCTGGGCAGCCCTGAGCCTGTGCTGTCCCAGGAGCCTCAGGGAGCCGCAGCAGCCATTAGCTTTCCCCGCAAGGCAAGAATCGCGTGGCCATGTTTTGATAGCACTACCACCAGCACCGAGAGCCAAATCGAGAACCAAAGCGAGAGCCAAAGCGAGGAAAGTGCAGCTGCCACCCAGGCAGGTGCCGGCCAGGCAAGTGGCTCCCAGGAAGATGCCTCCCAGGAAGGTGCCTGCCAGGCAGAGTCGCGGTCTGATGAATCCCGCAGAAGCCCTCTAGACCAGAAGGCGATGCTGCTGGCGCAGTTCATGCTGCGCAAGTATAACATGAAGCAGCCCATCACCAAGGAAGACATGATGAAGCATGTCATCAGGAAGCACAAGTCCTACTTCCAGGAGATCCTCAAGAGAGCCTCTGAGCTGATGGTGCTGGCCTTCGGCATTGATGTGAAGGAAGCCGACCCGGCCGGGCACAGCTACGTCCTGGTCAGCAAGCTGCACCACAGCGGGGATAGCAGTCTGCATGGGCAGATCATGCCCAAGAAGGGCCTCCTGATGACCATCCTCTGTGTGATCTTCATGAAGGGCAACCGCGCCGCCGAGGAAGAGATCTGGGATGTCCTCAACGCAATGGGCATACATGCTGGAAAGGAGCACAACCTCCACGGCGAGCCCACGAAGCTCATCACAGAAGATCTGGTGAAAGAAGGCTACCTGGAGTACCGCCTGGTGCTCCACAGTGATCCCCCGAGCCACGAGTTCCTGTGGGGCCCACAAGCCTACGCCGAGACCAGCAAGATGGAAGTGCTGGAGTTCTTAGCCAAGCTTCACGGTACCCAGCCAAGCGATGGTGAGGGGTGCTGGGGGAAACGCAATGCACGTCATATCTGTGCTGCTGTTCTGTTATTAAACTATTGCTTTATGTTTTTGTTTCTGAAATTTTTCAAATGTTGTTAATTAAAACAAGTTTCATTAACATCAGAATCTAAGTGCACACATGATATTGGTTATGGGTTTAACGTTGTTTAGGAGGCTTAAGAGTAAGAGTTTTGCTTTTTACTAAAAAATGGAGTAACCTTCTGTCTTACATAGTGATCTGGAACAAGACAACATGGCATTAGAAAATGTATTTTCTTAGAAATGTAACAAAGAAGTGGCAAAATAGTTGTGATAAAAAATCCAGAGAAAAGTAAAAAATGATCATTCTTGGTTTCCCTTATTCCTTGTGTTCTACTGTTCTATAAAATAAAAGTTATATGCTCGCACTTGCTTTGTTTATTCAAGTACATAACAGAAATGAAATCATGATGAATTGTTACTGCCTTTTTAAAAAAATTCCTCAAACATTAATTGAGCATCTGCTCTTGGGAAGGCTCCATGGTGGTGGGGGTGGGGGAAGGGGGGGGGATGGTGAGAAAAAGAAGACAGAGCTACTGCCCCTAGAATGATGGAAGCTAGAACCAGCTGTGGTAAAAGGAAGATGGTGAGATACCTCTAAGACAATAATCCAGTGAAAAGTATGAGGAGGGGAGAAGAGGGAGGTCGTGATAAGAGCAGATAGTCTGGGGTCTTGGGAAGCCTCAGTCCCTTCCGTGGGCGGTGATGCTCTGTGGAGGTGGGTGGGGCCTCAGAGGAGGGTGTGAGTGTGGTGAGCCAGGGCCAGACCCTTGCGTGGTGGGTCTCAGAGTTGAGGAGCTAAGCCTCCAGAGGAGAACTGCTTTTAGCAGCCACTGGGATCCTGGATGAAGCAGAGAGAACTCTCCCCGCGCAGCAAGGATGGAAGGTGTGCTGGGCTTTGGGCCCAGAGCAGGAGAACACAAGGCACAGACTCATCTCCAGGGAGTTTCTGAGAAATCAGGGCAGTACTTCCTCAGGGCGGGATGCCAGGGAGCCACTGTGCTGGCGCCCCTTGCCCTGGGCTGGGAGAAACAGGGTGTGCTCCATAAAAAGGCATCTTAGCTAGTTTATCTTGAGTAAAATTTGTCAACCTCTAAGGGAGGCCTTGATTTTGGGAGAGCTTAAATGAATGAAAAATGGGGTGATTCTGAGCAAAGGGCAGCTGGGAAGGAGGAAAGGAGAGTTGTTTTTGATACACATTTTAGGAGCTTTGTGTTATATGCAGATGAGGGGCATCCCCTAACATCCAAATTAAATACTGTGTCCTCTAAGAGGAATGATTTGCTGAGGTATTTTTTCTTGCTAAGCAGAATTTTTGGCAGAGTTGTTAGCTGTTCTTTAGCACTGCATATATCTCCTGGGTTAACACAACAACAATACAAAGAAAAAAATCTCAGCAGGAGGGTGGGTCTTATTCAAGGTCCAAAAAATCACAGTAGTAATTGCCATTCTTTACAATCTCAGTGCACACCAGTCACTGTGCCGGGTGCTGTACACACACCACACACACCCCAACAGTCCCAGAAGGAAGGAGGCACCAAGCCCAAGTCATTGATGAATCCGAGGCTCAGAGGGTTTGGAAAGGTTCAGGATTCACAAGGCTACTGAGTGAATTGGTCAAGAACCCACTCCTCCCAGCCTTGTGTCTATTCATTCACTTCTCTTCTCACTATTCCATGATGTTTCTCAGATGGTAGGAAGCAGAGGCCTGTGGCTAAAGTACTGAGAGCAAGCCTAAAAAAGGCCTGCCTCCCCAACCTGGAGCATCCCAGCTCCCTGCGAGTCCCTCCTTCACTGTGGACCCCTCTGACAGCAGCGGCCCTTTCCATGCAATTCCTCACTTCAGATGGGGACGTTTGCACACCTCTCCTCAGCCCTTCTGGCTGCCTCCATCACATTCTCAGAGCGTTTTCAAATCTGCTGATGACTAGAGCACAGAATCCACTGGTTCTTTGCAGTAGAATTTTATTTTTTAAAATATATTTTATTGATTTTTTTACAGAGAAGAAAGGACTGGGATAGAGAGCCAGAAACACCGATGAGAGAGAAACATTGATCTGCTGCCTCCTGCACACCCCCTACTGGGGATGTGCCTGCAACCAAGATACATGCCCTTGACCGACATCGAACCTGGGACCCTTCAGTCTGCAGGCCAATGCTCTATCCACTGAGCCAAACCGGTTAGAGCTGCAGTAGAATTTTAATTTTTACCTTGTTGGTCAACAGGAAGCAAAGTTTATCATTTCCAGACCAAGGCATTTGAGAGTCAGTGTGCCTGCTTTCTGCTCAATTCAGCGGCAAACATTGAGAGCTTGTGCTGAGATGTGGAATCACATGCATTGGAGCAGCCTTCATCCCTGGGCCACTTGACAGCATGGACCTCACCTGCCCATGCCAAATTTAATGTGCATAAAAACAAACTTTTGTGGTGTTAGGTCATTCAAATTTTAGGCTTCTTCCATTACATTCACTAGAAGTTACTTATCTGAATAACACACTGTTACTATTTAAGTTGTTAGCCTTACTTAGCCTAATTGCCACAGAAATAGTGCATATATTGTTTATGCTAAAAGTAGGAGGCAATCATGACCTTGCCTCCTTTCTATGGTCCTGTAAAATTCAGGGCCTATTAAGTAACCACAAATACAAACCCTGTGTGTATAATTTTTATATTTTTGTCTAGACTTTTTCTTACATATATGTGCTAGAATAGTGCACTGTTGATAACTTCCTTCCAAAATGTCTCCAGTGAGCAGTGAGACAAACTCCTGAGGGATCACAGTAGGGTGGTAACCCCATTCTCACTCCAGCTTACCATAAAAATTGTATCTATATTGCTTCTACACGGTACCTCACTTGTGATAAATAGGTTTTATCACTCCTACCAGATCAGAAGTTCTTTTTAAAAAAATATATTTTATTAATTTTTTGCAGACGAGAGGGATAGAGAGTTAGAGACATCAACGAGAGAGAAACATTGATCAGCTGCCTCCTGCACACTCCCTACTGGGGATGTGCCCGCAACCAAGGTACATGCCCTTGACCGGAATCAAACCTGGAACCCTTCAGTCCGCAGGCTGATGCTCTATCCACTGAGCCAAACCGGTTAGGGCAAATCAGAAGTTCTTGAGGGTTCATGTTGGCATCTCTCTTAGAGTGGCCAGGAATAAGAGCCAACTGAACAACACCTAATACACACAAGGTTACATTTATAAGAAATGATACAGTATAAAACTAAGTAGACCACAGGAAGTAACTCCAAATACCAATCCATTAAGCAAGTACAAAACATAACACAAAATATGCATAGGTACTATTATTTTACTTACTGCAGCAATAATACATATACAGTAAATTTAAAGCATACTTAAGAAGTAATTGCTCAAAAGAAAAAAATAGAATTGCTCATATATATTTTTGTACATCCTTTGATAGATGTTATTACTTCCATCGTTAATACTCTTCTATCTTTTCATAATTAGTCAATTACCAAAATTATAATGCATTAAGCATAAGTCCAGCAAGTTTGCAAGGTAAACATGCAAAATCAATTTTATCTCTATATAGTAGCAATGAACATGTAGACAATAAAATTAAAAATACAACACAATGTGAAATTGCTGAAAAAAATGAAATGCTTAGGTGGAAATCAAACAAAATATGTGCAGGCCTAGTAATCTGAAACTACAACAAACTGATTTTAAAAATCTAAGATATAAAGAAATGGTGAGACATACCATGATCATGTATCACAAGACTCAACATAGTAAAATAAACATTTCCATTCTTCCCAAATTGATATATTGCTTTAATCCTATTCCTAACAAATTATAACAATGTTTTTTAAAGATACAGACAAGATTATTCTAATCTACACTAATAAAAGAGAAAAATGGTAATTGGCATATGACGCTACCCTTTTCATTGGCTAATCAGGGCTATATGCAAATTAACTGCCAACTAAGATTGGCAGTTAACTGCCAACAAGATGGCGGTTAATTTGCATATGTAGGCAC